CCCCCCCCCCCCCCCCCAAGTCTGAATAAACAAGCAAATATACCGAGAATTTAATCAATTAGATAGAATTTAGGAATTCAAATTTCACTTAAGAGAAACATACCGAGCATCAGTATAGTAAGGCTTCAATTGGAAGAAATCTCTTTCAAATGCATCTTGATCTTCAATCTTCACACTAAGTAATACAGCATGCTCGTATATATCCCCTGAAGTCCCCAAGTGAACATAAAAATTGTACAAGATTTAAATTTAGAATATGACTATACAGGGAAAGAAAAAACCAAAGTTCCATACAGATAACAAACTCTTCCGTACAGAAAATTCTGCATCAGAATATTCAATGACCCAGAAAGTAAATTATTTATCCACGTCCAAGTGATCAAGTTTCTGTGATTCTCAAATTTTTATTAGATAGTTAATCAATTTACCACATTTGTTTCTCATATTTCGTACATCTGAGTAAAATTGCTTCAATGGCTCATTAAAACGTTAGACAAATTTTCATCGACTGGTATCGGTCATCTAGCTTCTAAGATGGGAAAATGGTTCCAAGGCTCCATAATAATCTTATCATTGTAGATTACAGAATCTAGTAGCTTATGCTTGCAGTTCGGGTTGTAGCTTTACAGTCACTAATCATGCAATTGAATAACAACTACCAAGCTCCACACAAATATAAGTCTCCATATGTTACTATGAAGATGCATGGCCAGACTATAAGTTTCTCTTCAGTTGAGTAATTTCAAGACCCAAACGACAGCAAACTATTCCAAATTATTCGTACAGAAAAATATAGGCGAGCCAATAAGAGCTATAGAACTACGGCATGGAGTATGAATTCTTACTAGCTACCGTCAATTCATGGACTGCATTGGGCGTATCTTCAAACAATGGTGGAAGACTTCTGAATCCAGTTAAAAAAACCTGCAAAAATAAAATGAAGAAAGATTTCGGAAACTTGAACAACATTATCAAAACGACTCCTCGAGAAAAGAAGAAAACACGCTAAAACTCCAGTGACGTATCGAACGGAGGAGTCATAGGGTTACATTAGGGTTCTGAAATAAAATCGACACCTTTAGCTGAGGGAGGAGATTGCTACAAGAATCGTAATCGTGCCTAACAAACGCAGCTTTGAAGCGATCAAAGTGCTGCGAGTCCTCAGTTAGCTTTGGTTCCATGGCGATCTTCGTCTCCTTCAATTTCTTCCTCCGAATCACTGCTGAAATTGGAATGAAGATGGTCACCTTTGTTTGTTGTCTTTGCTTGCTCTTCAAGAAGGATTCAAATGGGTCAAATCCGAACCGATACCCATACCCGGCCCATATACTGTAATAAACTTATAAAAGAACCCGACTTAGGAGAGGAAATTTATTACTAATCATACTTAAAAAAAAATTTAGGCTAAGTTATTTAAATTAAGTTAAACTGTAGTGCATGCTTTTACTTTTTCACACGTGTGAAATTATCTTGTCATCGAGTTGTAAATCGCTCGAACAGTTATGTCAGTATCACCCGTAGATATTGTTCATTTTTGTATAGTAATTACAATCAACCTCACAATTTTAAAACGTATCTATTAAGAAAGTGGTTTAATCCTATTTCAACTAGTGTCTTGCACCATCCCGTAACGGTTTTAAAACGTGTCTATTAAAAAAGTGGTTTAATCCTATTTCAACTAGTGTCTTGCACCATCCCGTAACGATTTTAAAACGTGTCTATTAAAAAAGTGGTTTAATCCTATTTCCACTAGTGTCTTGCACCATCCCTGGCTCTCCACCATTTGTAACAACCCAACCGCGCCTAGTGTCTTGCACCATCCCTAGCTCTCCACCCCAGCACTCAAACTTACCGCGCCTAGTGTCTTGCACCATCCCTAGCTCTCCACCCCAGCACTCAAACTTACTAGCCATTTGTAAACTTACTGTTAGTCATTTGTAACAACTCAACTCAAATTTACTATTAGCCATTTGTTAGTCATTTCCATCCCGCTCATGGCTTAGCCATTTGTAACAAACTCAACTCAAACTTCAAACTTACCGTTAGCCATTTCCATCGGTAACAAGCTCGGATGCTCGGATACTATTTGTAATTTCTATCCGTAATTGGCTTTGATACCATTTATAACATTCCAAACCGGCTACTAACCATTTTTATCGGTAACTGAGTCTGCATACCATTTGTACGAAAATTGTCGGCTTATTCGCTTTGATCAAGGGTACTAAAATAATTATAATAAAGAAAAATTTAATATATAAAATCTAATCTCATCAAACAAATGCTTATATCCCAACACCACAGACAGCCAAACAAATGTGAAATTCTAGAAAACCCCTCAGTTAAATGAAGAGAAAAAAGCAGCAAAAGAGCAAAGAAGCAGAGCGAGGAATAGGGACAAGAAAGTAATTTCGCGTGGCAATTTCCCTCCATCCTTCCGAAACGCCATGGCCTCATAAAGCGGCAAGCAATTCACCACCGTAAACCCAGCCAAAAAAATCTGAACAAACACTTCTTCCCACGCGCCGCCGGATCTCCAAATCCCAATAAGTCCCCCAACGAAACCGACTAAGTTGACAATCGCCGCCGTAGCCATAGGCAGAAACATCGGCGAGAAGGCTCCAAACTCAAACAACTCCTGATCGTATCGCTTGCTCTGATCTTGGTCGACAACTTTGCTGGTGACATTGAAACCTAGCGCGGAAATCCCAAGAGACTTCAACGAAAACTCAATGGATGCAAAGAAGTAGCTAGACAGCGCTCTTACGCTCCAAATCCTCTGATCGTTCCACCATTTCTGGAATGTGCTTCCTTCTTGAAGAAATTCCAGAAGATCTTGGGCATAGGCTCCCAAGAACAGAAATGCATACACTGAAAACCATGGATCCCAAACCCTAGGGAAGACGGAGGCGCCATTGAGAAGAGCCAATTGGGGGAGAAATGCATAAACCGTGACGGGAATACACAAAAACGCCCAGAATGCATTATGACAATAAGAAATACCCATAAGAAGGCCCATGGACCTCACGCCGAATGTAATTGGGCTGTACTTTGAGAACGTCACTTCCAAAAGCCCAATAGCCCATCTCTTCACTTGATTCACCGCGTCCAGAAGGTTCATCGGAGCGTCGCCGTAGAAAGCTGCCCTGTTTGGATTACAGAACACACTCTTCCACCCCTCCGATTTCTGTAGATACGCCGTGAAATAATCCTCCACTAGAGACCCATATCTAAACCCCAATTTGGAACCCCATTTGGTGTTAATCTCATAATCACTCCTCGCAACTAGATGAGCCAAGTCCAACACCTGTCGAGACCGAATCGAGTTTTGGACAACATGACTTGGGTGAAGCTCGGGGAGCTCAGGTGGTTCGAGCGTCGATGGGCCACCGAAGAAAGTTCGTCGAACAAAAAAACACCCGGTGCCAAGATAGCCTGGGCCTAACAACCCATCCATACCAATTGGGTTAAATATAAACAGCCGCATATACTCGCTGCCATACACATCATCCTTGCTGATCCCATGGAATCGTTGAGGGAACTGAACATAGCCACAATTGGTTCCAACTTTTGGGTCCATAAAGTAACACAACACCCGAAGAGGTGTTTGCGGGTCGTTGGAATAGGTATCACAGTCCAAAGTCAAGACAATCGGTGCGTTGCTCATTGTAGCTGACACTCGCAGCTGTTGCAGTAAAACACAATTAAGTGATAACAACAATTTTGATATGAGAAAGTAAATGAGTAAAAGGGTTAATTACCAGAGCATTAAGAGCACCAGCCTTGAAATTGTGTCGTGAAGTTTCACTTTTTTGCCTCGAAACATAGATGAGATTTGGTAATGACTCTCCAGTTATGTCTGTGTTCTTACTGCTCTCCAACAATACGTGAATGATTGTCGGATGATGTCGTGGAGTGAAGGAATTGGTCCATTTACCCAAAATCATTCTCTCTTCTTCTCCATTAATGAACTCTTCTCCAACTTTCCCTTTCTCCAAAATATTTTCTATTCGAATTTTCATTTTTGCATACATTATCTGCACATCCAAACACAAACCATTTCTTAAATTTTTATTTTTCTTGTTTTATAAGAACACTATTCTCCACAATCGTATGATATTGTCCACTTTGAGCATAAGCTCTCTAAATTAGTCGATGTAGGACTTTCATCGTCCAACACCTCCCCTTGAACAAAGTACGCCTCCCCCTTCATTGAGGCTCGACTCCTTTTCTTATGGAGTCCTTTGTTCGACATTTGAAGATTTACCAATCTATTGGCACAACTAAGTTTAGGGCATGACTCTGATATCATGTTAGACGAATACGACTCTCCACGATGGTATGATATTGTCAACTTTGAGTATAAGCTCTCGTGGCTTTGTTTTGGCTTCCTAAAAGGCCTTACACCCATGGAGAGAGTATTATTGGTTTATAAGGTATGATCATTCTAGTAGTGGGACTTTCATCATCCAACAGTTTCAATAATAATTTTTAAATCAGATTATACTGCCTCGATAATAATTTCTATTACTCACATTTCAAATCCTAATTTAAAGTATTTAAGAAAATTCAGTAAATTTTCCAAAAATAATAATTTAAACTAATTTGGAATAAACGAGTATGTTTTTTTTTTTAATTAAAAAAAGATAGATTATGTACCTTGATCTTCTCCGATTGAGAGTCCAAATCCTGGTTGGACTCAAAGAACGCCTCGGGATTCCTTTCAACGACGTGGTTTTTCCTACAAAACGGCAACCATTCGGCGGCGAATCTGGCCGCTTCCATAAAAGCGAAGAGCGTCACGGCGGAGCCGCCGTCGTCGGAGATATAGACGGAGATCTTAGTTGTGGGGTAGTCATAAGCCAAGACGGACAATGCTGTGTTGATGACGTTGATTGGTGGCTCTTTGTACGGATCCGCAGTGCAAATGAAGACATCCAACGCCGGAAAATCCGAATCGTTTTTGAGTAACTGCTTGAGGTTATTAGGGAACTCGCGGCGGCGGAGGGGAATCATACGGTTGCATTGAGTGGTGGCCCACAAGAACGCTAAAACGACGTCGGAGATGAATAGAGAAATAGAGACGAAGAAGGAAGAAACAGAGGTGGGGGATTTGAGAAGTGAAGTTAAGTGGTAATAAAACAGAGATAAAATGGCAGCGGCGTAAACGGCGGCGAAGAGGCGGTTGAAGAGAGTGGTGCGGCGGGAGAGGTGTTGGGAGTTTAGTGGGAGTGGCGGAGGGTTAGGTATGGCGGCGCGTGCAATGTATTGCTCCATGATTTTTTGGAGTGTGAGATTTTGCATCCGAACTTATTGGTTGTATTTTATAATTTATTTCGAAACCCTTCATTTTCTTAAATTTAGAAGTGCGGGCCTGGGGTATGGTGAGCGAATATTCTAATGTTATGGCCAGTTATGAAAATATAGGTACAAAAAAATAAAATCAAAATGATATTTATTTAATAAATAGAAAATTATTTAATGTGGGCTCTCAAACCTCTTCGTTCATACATTCATACTCATGAACATATTCAATTATTAGGTCAGTTTTAGTTGGCCCACTCTCATAATAATGAACATGGTCCTAGTTGGATTCCGAGTTGAATTAAGAATTTTCCTAGAGGAGTTCGAGTTGATTGGATTGATAACCTAATACTTCGATCCAGGTCAACCATAGGTTTTTGTCCCATAAACCCAAAACTAAACCAAACCAATTCGGGTTCAGAAAAATAAATCCAATCCTTATTTTGGGCTCAGAAAAATAAACTCAATCCAATCCAATCCCTATAATTTGAGTTGGGTTGGTACTGGTTATCGGGTTGAATCAGGTTGAATGTACACTCCAACTCTATTCTATATTTTAAATTTGTGTTAATATTAATAACATTGAAAATATTTTAAATCTTTTAAAGAGCTAATAATTAGAATTAAGTTAAATTTTAGCGAATATTTAACTTAATTAAAACTAAAAAGCTGCAAAATAGCAAAGAAGGAGAGCGAGGAAGAGGGATAAGAAAGTAATTTTGGATGGCACCTTCCCTCCGTCGTTCCTTAAAGCCATGGCCTCATAAACCGGCCAGCAATTCGCCACTGCAAATCCAACCACCAAAATCTGAGGCAACATTTCTTCCCACCCGCCGCCGCACAATCTCCAAATTCCGATGACCCCACCGGCTAAATTCACGATTGCAACCGTGACAATGGGCACGAACATAGGCGAGAAAACTCCAAACTCAAACAACTCCTCCTCGTACCTCTTGCTCTGTTCAGGATCCATTACTTTGCTGGTAACATTGAAACCGAAATTCGAAAACCCCACAGATTTCAACACGAACTCCATGGTTCCAAATAATAAACAAGACAGCGCTCTTACGCTCCACATTCTTTGATCATTCCACCATTTTCGGAATGTTCCTCCCACGACAACGAACTCTACAAGGTCCTGACCATAAGCTCCAACAAACAGGAACGCGTACACTAAAAACCATGGATCCCATACATTTGGGAAGATGGCGGCGCCATTGATTAGGGCAAGCTGGGGGAGGAGGCCATAAACCGCAACCGGAATGGACCATAAGGGCCAGAATGCATAATGGGCGTAGGAAAAGCCCATTAAAAGGCCCATGGACCTTACACCGAATGTAATTGGGCTGTAGTTTGAGAAAATGACTTCCAGAAGCCCAATAGCCCATCTCTTGATTTGATTCAACGCGTCGGGGAGGTTGATGGGGACGTCGCCATAGAAAGCCGCCCTGTTTGGATTACAGAATACACTCCTCCACCCCTCGGATTGAAACCGATAGCCCGAGAAAAAGTCCTCCACGACAGACCCATATTTAAACCCCAACTGCCAAACGACAAAATAAAAGTTTAAAACAAAAATAAAAAAAGTACTCGGTGGTTTGAATTTGCGCCGCCATACCTTATAACCCCACTGGGTGTTAGTCTCATAATCACACCCCGCAACTCGATGGGCCAATTCCAAGATTTGTGGAGATTTAATGGGCTTTCCGACAACATGATTTGGGCTAAGTTCGGAGAGTTCAGGTGATTGGAATGAAAATGGGCCTCCAAAGAAAATCCTCCGAACAAAAAAACAGCCGGTGCCGAAGTAATCTGGGCCTAGAAGCCCATCCATACCGGGTGGATTTATTATGTATGGGCGCTTTAACTCGCCGCCATAGATATCATTTTTGCTAACTCCATGGAAATGTTGAGGGAACTGAACATAGCCCAAGTGGGTCGCGAGTTTAGCGTCCAATAGATAGCACAAGACGCGAGCTGGTGTTTGCGGGTCGTTGGAATACATGTCGCAGTCCAAAGTGAGAATAATGGGTGCGTTGGTCATCGTAGCTGACACTCGCAGCTGTTGTTGCAATAGACGCACAATAAGAGAGAGCGGAGAAAGATTATGAATTTGAGTAATGGGATTAATTCGTAATGGGATTAATTACCAGAGTATTGAGAGCGCCCGCCTTGAAATTGTGTCGGGATGTTTTACTTTTTTGCCTCGAAACATAGATGAGATTTGGTAACGACTCTCCCGTTATGTCTGTGTTCTTACTGCTCTCCGACAATACGTGAATGATTGTCGGATGATGTTGGGGAGTGAAGGATTTGGTCCATTTATCCAAAACCATTCTCTCTTCTTCTCCATTCAGGAACTCTTCTCCGACCTTCCCTTCCTTCAAAAAATTTTCTACTTTCATCTTCATTTTCTCATACATGTCCTGAAATTAAAACACCCCAATTTACAATCAATCACTTTACATTTATCTTTACAAAATATATATATATATATTGAATGATAAAAGTCTCACAGGCTAATTTAGTAAGTGAGTAATACTAATTTCATTGGTACGAGACCTTTTGAGTTTAGGGAATGATCATGGGTTTATAAGTGAGGAATACTAACTCCATTGGTCGATGCATTTTGGGGAAGCCCAAAGCTGAGTTTAGAGAATGATCATGAGTTTATAAGTGATGGAGAAGCTCCAAGCTGAAATTATAAGTGAAGAATACTAATTTCATTGGTACGAGACATCTTGGGAAAGCCCAAAAGAAAATCATGAGGTGGTAGACACCTCCCTCGGATAAATTCAAACAATAGGCTTAAATTAAAAAAAAAAAATTGAATACATTTTTATCAAAAGACATTTTAATTAAAAACTATTCAAAGTGGGCTCTGAAAAAGACGTATATTAAATTATTAGGGTCAATTTTGTTCACTCATTGTTTGTAGAAAAGTCTTCGAAGATTTTTAAATTGATTTTTTTTTTTCTTTTTGCAAAATACCTTTATCTTGTCCGTCCGAGTGTTCCAATCCTTGTTGGACACGAAGAAGGCGGCAGGATTCCTATCTACGACGTCGTTTTCCCTGCAAAACGGCAACCACTCGGCGGCGAACTTAGCCGCCTCCATAAAAGCGAAGAGCGTCATGGCGGAGCCGCCGTCGTCGGATACATACACAGAGATCTTACATGTGGGGTAGTCATAGGCCATGACGGACAGAGCCGTGTTGACTACGTTAATCGGCGGCTCCTTGTAAGGATCCGCCGTGCAAATAAACACATCCAACGCCGGAAAATCGGAGTCCTTCTTGAGTAACTCTTTCAGATTTCCGGGGTACTCACGGCGGTGGAGTGGATTCATCCGGAAGGATTGAGCGGTGACCCACATGAAGGCCAAAACGAGGTCGGAGATGAACAAGGAAACAGAGACGAAGAAGGAACCCAAAGAGGTGGGTTTGAGAAATGAAGCCATGTGGTAGTAAAAAAGAGCCAAAATAGCGCCGCCGTAAATCGCAGCGAAGAAGCGGTTAAATACGGTGGCGCGTCGGGATATGCTTTGGGAGTTCAGTGGCAAGGTCTTGGCGGCGGCGCGTGCTCTGATATCCTCCATGATTTTCTGTTTCTTTCTTCTCCCTTGGAGATGAAGTGAAGCGAAGTGTCGGCTAAAGGGAGTGGGTTTGATTTCAAAAGTAAATTTTCTATTTTTTTTATATAAAATTTTTCTACAAATTAATAGTTTATTTTATTTTATTTTTAAAATTTATCCATTCAAACCTAATTGAATGGATAATATATTATAATCATTATTATATAAAATAATATGACGATATAAAGTTAAAACTCATTTGAAATATAATATTTAAAATATTATTATTTCTTCTTTATTCATTCATGAGCTCACTCCTCGTCAAAAACACATTTAACCATAAAATTCTTATGATTCAACCGTACTTGTAATACCCTAAATAAAAAAATAAATGAAATAGAATAAAACAAGATTAAAAAAAATTAAAAAAAAAAAAAGAGAGAAAAGAAGGAAATGACAGGGCAGTCGGCAGACACTCCAACATCCCACCCCTCATCTCCCCTCCCTCATCTGAGACCTGCGAGAATGGAAGGGGTGAGAGGGGGCTGAAGGTGTGGCTGGCCGTTTGTCGAAAGGAGAAGGCACCGCCGGAGGTAGGGGACTGAAACCCAACCCATGCTCGCCGGAGACACTTGAGCTTTAGATCCACGGGTGTTTGGCGGTCGACTTTGGATGGATACACACCGAGGAGGGAAGTTGAACGAAGGAAGAACGCAAAGGTACGTTCATGGGTTTTTGAGAGCTTCTACCGTTAGATTCATCCCCTAACCTTAAGGGGATTGACCCGATTTCAGTTGTTATGTGTTTTCTGAGGACGATCTACGAGATTTGAGGAGGATCGTGGGCGTCGGAAGCGAACCAGAGGATGAGGCGACGACGAGGATGCAGAGGTGAGTGAAAGAGAAAGGGGGGTCGGGGGAAAACGATGGTTCCACGACTGGCGCGAGCGTCTGCCTCACCGCCTGGCGTGGCCCAGCGCGGGCCTCCGCCTCGCATGGCCCAGCACGGGCCTGCGTGCGGCCAATGCAGGCGCGTGCGTCCCGCCTTGCCCACAACGGGCGTGCGAACCGGGGAGCAGCCGACCCGACCCAAGTAGGGTCGGTTTGGCCCTTTTGATTTAACTCACCCGCTTTAACTCCGATCTTGACGTCATTCTCATGGTATTCTCCATTTTTGCACCAATGTAAGAATTATCCGAAGAGTTTGGCAAATTTTGGACTAAAGACGCAAGTCCGAACATAAAGTGTCACGCTTTTCAAGTAGGTGTCACCTCGGAACCTTGGATCTAGCTACTCTAGTAGTATGCATGAAAGTATGATATAAGAAGTATGTTTTAGAAATTTGAGCATAGAATGAGATGAGAGGACACATGTTGATTGTGGTTGTGTATGTTTGCTGAAACGCGTATGCACTACCGTATGAATTGAGATTCATGATTAGCTTTCCATGATTAGATCATTATATTATGCCTCCGTCACATATGTTACAGCATTAGCGGTTAAGCGGGGACATTTAGGGGTTCGCCAACTAACCTCTAACCATACTCGATTGTCAGGGGTCCGCGTAACCATAGAACTGGTCATTTGATTGTTGATGATACCTTGTGGGGACTTATAGGAAGTTTGCCAGTTAGTTTCCTTTAAGTGAACCTGTCACGAGTGGCAGGGGTCTACAATGGTACACTTGAGAGTTGGTCGAGTCTTAGAATGCATGAACCATGAACACCGAGGTCGCGCCTCGAGTGCTTGAGATATGATGACAGTGATCAGAGTGACTAGCAAAAGTGACTAACTAGGAGACCTAGAGGACCTAAGAATATTCCGAGGGCTGGAGGTCCAGATAGGACCGTGAACCAAGAGAGTGGAATGAGAAATCTTAGCGTGTAACGTAGGAAGAAGCCTATACGGGGGAATGAATCCCGGTGAGAGAATAAGATACCGAACGTGGGAACAAGATTAATAAGACTTAATAACGAAATACGAACTACCAGCAAGCTGCTTACTGAGTATATTTTATATACTCATCCCTGCTACTCCAACTTTCTTTTCAGGTGGAAATCGATGTAGCGGTCGAGGCGAAGGCACACGGGGCCGTTGGCTATAGCGAGTTCCAACACATTTGAGTCGAGTTTCTTTGTACCTACCTTTAAATCCGGCCTTTCACGTATTTCAAATAGTTGTCCGAGTCCGAAAGATGTTGTATCTTAGTGGTCTTTTCTCTTTTCGTTATAAAAACAAAATTTTCATTACTACTTTAATTAAATTTCAATTTACATGCAAGTGTTTAAATGTTTTAAATTTTACGCATTTTTCTTATTTCGACATTCTTGAGTAACGATCCGTGGCTTTTTTGAGTTGTTATAGTAAGTGCTGTTTCTTTGCTCTAGAAGATCTCTTCAACTTTACTTTATTTATTTTACTTGTGTGGGTCATATCCAAAAGTCATATACGGAGTGAAGTAGAAAAATATAAAACATTTGTTAACAAAACAAAGCACCAAACCAGAAAAGAAACAAAGCAAGAAACACAGACAAGAAAGTGATTTTGGGTGGCATCTTCCCTGCGTCCTTCCTCAAACCCATGGCCTCATAAACCGGCCAGCAATTAGCCACTACAAATCCGACCACAATCATCTGAGGCAACATTTCTTCCGACCCGCCGCCGCCGCACAATCTCCAAATTCCGATGACCCCACCAGCCAAATTCACGATTGCAACCGTGGCTATGGGCACGAACATAGGCGAGAAAACTCCAAACTCAAACAACTCCTCCTCGTACCTCTTGCTCTGTTCAGGATCCATTACTTTACTGGTAACATTGAACCCGAAATTCGAAAACCCCACAGATTGCAACACGAACTCCATGGTTCCAAACAATAAACAAGACAGCGCCCTTAAGCTCCACATTCTTTGATCATTCCACCATTTTCGGAACGTCCCTCCCGCAACAACGAAGTCCAGAAGGTCCTGACCATAAGCCCCAACGAACAGGAACACGTATACTGCAAACCATGGATCCCATACATTTGGGAAGATGGCGGCGCCATTGATGAGGGCAAGCTGGGGGAGGAAGCCATAAACCGTAACCGGAATGGACCATAAGGGCCAGAATGCATAATGGGCGTACGACAGGCCCATTAAAAGGCCCATGGACCTTACACCAAATGTAATTGGGCTGTACTTTGAGAAACCAACCTCCAGAAGCCCAACGGCCCATCTCTTGACTTGATTCAGCACGTCGGGGAGGCTGATGGGGACGTCGCCATAGAAAGCCGCCCTCTTTGGATTACAGAATACGCTCTTCCACCCCTCGGATTGGAATCGAAAGCCCGAGAAATAGTCCTCGACTAGAGACCCGTATTTGAACCCCAACTGCGAAACGACAAAATAAAGTTTAAAACAAAAATAAGAAAAGTATTTGGTGGTTTGAATTTGAGCCGCCATACCTTGTAACCCCACTGGGTGTTGGTCTCATAATCACACCCCGCAACTCGATGGGCCAATTCCAAGATTTGTGGAGATTTAATGGGCTTTTCGACAACATGATTTGGGGCAAGTTGGGAGAGTTCAGGTGATTGGAATGAAGATGGGCCTCCAAAGAAAATCCTTCGGACAAAAAAACAGCCGGTGCCGACGTAATTTGCGCCTAATAGCCCATCCATACCGATTGAATTGATAATGAATAAGCGCTTTAACTCGCCGGCATAGATGTCATTCTTGCTCACTCCATTAAAACGTTGAGGGAACTGAACGTAGCCACAGGTGGTTGCAAGTTTTGGGTCGAGGAAGTAACATAAGACTCGAAGAGGTGTTTGTGGGTCGTTGGAATAGTTGTCACAGTCCAAAGTTACAATAATTGGTGCATTGGTCATTGTAGCGGATACTCGCAGCTGTTGCGATAGATACACGATAAAGAATAGTGGAGAAAGATTATGAATTTGATGCAAGAAAAATGTAATAACCAAGAAAAAATCCCTCGTTACATATGTTGAGAAGTGAGGAGTTGACCTCCTCTCTAAAATTGAGGTCCCTCACTTCATTTTATCATCCCACTTGAAGGGTTAAAGTTAGTCAGATAATATATTTTTTTGACCGCTCTAAGCCAATATTTTAGTTGATTTGAGTTTAGTACCCTCGTACCCTTTACTCCTAGTTTCAACTTTTCGTAAACATTTAAGATTAGTATTATTGTTTTTGAGGTAATTAAAATTTTTGGAATAAAATTTAAATTATTTATTATTTATGCATCATTAGGATAAGTTAGTTTAAATTATTAGGAGTATGTTAAACTATTTTATGCCAAATTAGTATTAGTTGATTTAAATTATTAAGGTTTAGTTTAGTGAGCTAATTCTCACATTAAAATTCTAATGGATCATTGTGAGGCTCCTCATGTAGAACGTCAACTAAGGCCATCCAAGTGAGTGGTCTTATTATTTGATCAGTTGAAAGATTTACCTTATGTATGACGACACGTTCCCAATGGCCCTTGCATGTGTCATTTATGCTTTATATTATATGATTACGAGATTATGATATATGATGATGCGACTATGTTTTATGAAGATGCTATATGACGTTATATGATGTTATACGACGATCTTATATGTTGATGATGTATGATAACATGATGTAAAATGTATGATGATGAGATGACTTAATATGACGTTATCCATGTTAAGATGATGTGCACATATTAAATGTCATGATACATTATGACGATAATTTTTTTAAAACACAACCATAGTTAATGTTAATGATGATGGGCTCAGGGAGGTGCGAACCACCTGGGGATCCACTCACATTTGTGGGTCGTGCATGGGGGAGTATTTCACATCCAATTTTGTTTGGACTAGAAGCCACACTTATGTTTTAACACTAGGTCCTTAATCATAAGTTGCATGTGTTTGCCTTTTCTGACCTCAATAGTTGAGACACTTATGGAGTACTTCTTAAAATATTCAATTCGTGTGCTACTTCTACTTCAGGTAAAGACAAGGCACCGCTATACGACTGACAACAACATCACAAGTAGAGACCATAACACGTACGTAGGATAGTGGTATTTCATTTTCTTATACTTATGTTAGTGTAGAGTGCTTTTACTTTTAATATTTTATTTGCTTTATTCAATATTTCCTTATGTTGTTTTAAAGAGATTTTTGAACCTATAAGTTTACGACCCTGCTTTATAATGGATTTTTAAATGTTTATTCTGCATAAGAGCACAGGTAACGACGACAATAGTAACTTTGGATTAGTAGAAATCTAGAATCGTTACAAAAACAAAAAAAAAGTGAGTGATAGAATCAAATACCAGAGTATTGAGAGCACCAGCCTTGAAATGGTGTGGAGAAGATTCACTTTTTTGCCTCGAAACATAGATGAGATTCGGTAACGACTCTCCACTAACATCTTTACTTTTAGCGCTCTCTAAGAGTACCTACCTCACACACAACACAAACATCGATGATCTTATTTTAGAAAGAGAGTCTTCAGGTGCATAAACATAAAAATATTTATTTCGGGAAAATGAAAGGTATAATTGAAAAGAAACAGATAAGAATACCTTAATAAGAGAGGGATGACGTTTAGGAGTAAAGGACGTGGTCCATTGATTGAGAGCCATAAGCTCTTCTTCTCCATTCATCAACTCATCTCCAACCTTCCCTTTCTTCACAACATTTTCTACTTTCATTTTCATTTTCTCATAAATTTCCTGAAAAATTCAAATACTTAAACTTTTCTCTTCATAAATATTTTTAAAAGAACAAAATAAATAATAACCTTAGCTTTTATAAATATGTGCTCAAATATTAATTTTTGGCATAATTTTATAAAATAAAATTTTAAAAAAAAATGTAGATATTTTTATGGAAAGACGTGTATTTTGCCCTTATTAAATTATTTATGGTCTTAAAATTTCAATTTTTTTTTTTAATTTAAAAAAATGAGACGATAATTTCATTAAAATGTGTGCCGACGACCGTAGTTGAATTCAAAAGTCTCCGAACATGTTTAAATTGGTCTTAGAGACTAAATTCGTAATTTGAATGAAGCCAAATAAAATATAATAATTAATTAAATTTTTGTCGACTACGAAAAAAATGAAATTACCTTCATCTTGTCCGTTTCGGAGCTCCAATCGTTGTTGGACGTGAAGAAGGCATCGGGATTCCTTTCTACGACGCCGTTTTTCCTGCAAAACGGCAACCACTCGGCGGCGAACCTAGCCGCCTCCATAAAAGCGAAGAGCGTCAGGGCGGAGCCGCCGTCGTCCGACACATACACTGAGATCTTACATGTCGGGTAGTCATAGGCCATGACGGACAGAGCCGTGTTGACTACGTTAATCGGCGGCTCCTTGTATGGATCCGCCGTGCAAATAAACACATCCAACGCCGGAAAATCTGATTCTTTGTTTAGTGATTCTTTCAGGTTTCCGGGGTACTCACGGCGGTGGAGTGGATTCATCCGGTAGGATTGAGCGTTGACCCACATGAAGGCCAAAATGATGTCGGAGATGAACAGGGAAACAGAGACGAAGAAGGAACCCAAAGAGGTGGGTTTGAGAAGTGAAGCCATGTGATGGTAAAACAAAGCCAAAATAGCGCCGCTGTAAATGGCGGCGAATAAGCGGTTAAAGGTGGTGGCGCGTCGAGAAATGTGTTGGGAGTTTAGAGGCAAGGCCGTGGCGGCGGCGCGTGCTCTGATATCCTCCATGATTTTTGGTCTCTCTTCTTACTTGTTGGTGATGTGGAGTGAACTCCCAATTTTATAGGAATGGGTTTTATCTCAATTTATTTCAGAGAGCACATTTTTTTTATATTATTATTATTATTTAAAAATTTTAGATTCTGGTTGTCTCTTAAAATTCATAATAATATTAGGTAAATTATTGTTTTTTTACAAATTGTGCCAATCTCTTATTTTTTTTAATTATTATTTTACTAATTCAAATATAATATTAGTGAGTAGAGACACGCAAAATAATTAATAATTGACTTGACCAGGATATAGTCACTAATTAATTATTAAAAAAAAGCAAATTTTTTTGGATGTGTCTGCCTTAAAATATTTTTATTTTTAAGACTATTAATTTACATTCAATTATACATGTATTAAATACAAGTTTAGTTTCTATGTTTTTTTTTTTTTTTACTATCTATAATATTTTTTTTATTGCTTAAATACAAACATTTTTCCACTTTATTTATAAAAAAAAAACTTAAAAAGTCATTTCATAAAAATCCTTTATATAAACCAAACAACTCCATATGATCAAAATTCATGAAGGAATGAGTTTTATGTGTTTCATTATTTTTTTGTGATATGGAAATGTAAATTTACGAAATTGCCCTTTGGGAAAATGGATATGCCATAGATGAGAGCCACGTGAGGAGAGCATAGGGACAGTGATTGGAATGGGCCAAATGGGCCCAAAGACATAGTGAGCACAACAAAGGCCCATAAAGACTGATGGACCAACAAAGGCCCATAATAATAATGGACCAACAAAGGCCCATAATAATTATGGACCAACAAAGGCTTATAAGAACGATGGACCAACAAAGGCTTATAAGAATGATGGGCCGACAAAGGCCCATAAGATGATGGGCCAACAAAGGCACATAAGAATGATGGACAACAAAGGCCCATAAGAATTATGGACCGACAAAGGCCCATAATAATGATGGGCCTACAAAGGCCCATAAGAATGATGGACCGACAAAGGCCCATAAGAATGATGGACCGACACAGGCCGAAGAATGATGGGCCTACAAAGGCCCATAAGAATGATGGACCGATAAAGGCCCATAAGAATGATGGACCGACAAAGGCCCATAAGAATGATGGACCAACAAAGGCCCATAAGAATATGGACCAACAAAGGCCCAAGGTTAGGATGTATCTAAGAGAGTCAAGGCGGAGCTATCACCGACAGTGCCGAGTTCACCACACTCACGTCGACAGCCGTGAAGAGGCAGTGGAACGAGGGGATTCGGTGGAGTGAAGCAGTGACAGTGGAGGCGGTCAGGTGGCGCCGCCCTAGTTCCGTCGTCATTTTGATCTGCGCTGCCGCAGGTGAAGAGATTAAATCCCTCTTATAGGAAATCTCTTTCGTGTATATATCCTATGATCATTTAAATTAGTAATAAATAAATATTAAAAGAAAATAATAAAAAGTGGGTTGGTTTGAGCCCATCCACAAATTTTAAGGTAGAAATAAAATAATAAATAAATAAATATATATATTATTCCCATTGGGAATTTGGTTTGTTGGAGCACTTAATGAATGAATGAGTGGAGAAGATGAAGTTGAAAGCAATGAGTTTAATTATGGATTATGGAAGAAATCATTAATGATTCTCCTTTAATCCCTTCTTATTTATTTAATTATTTATTCTCATCATTCTTCCCACTATTCTCTAATATGAGCTGTCACATTCATTTTTTTTTAATATACGCTATTCATCATATCCTTCCTATAAATTCTTTATAATTCTTAGTCAAATTATATTCGATAATATCAAAACAAATCTTCCTTTCAATATCAATGGTGTAATTCAAAGCCATGTAAATACGAAACCAAGACTATTTTAATAAGTTTGATACGTCTTGAACGTAACCCATTTTGAACTCATGGGTCATCGATTTGGAGTGGCTTTGGTTAAGATTCAATCCGAACCGACCGACCGACCCGAGAATCAAAGTTTAAGATTTGACAAAATGGGTATTATATTTACATAAATAGAAGAAGCATAAGCTCTACATTTTCCGACCCACTCATCATTAATTCCAACAAAGTTTTCCAAATTCTAATCTTCACCTCTCCTCCAAAGGCTTCTTGGAAATGAGACAGATTCTCTCATGTTTCTTTGTTCTGTGTTTTTCTTCTTTTTTTTCTTCTTTTTTTTCATTTGACAAACAACAAAAGACTAACCCAAAAGATTATTTAAGTTTCCGAAGCGATGTACTTCGAGCTTCAGCTGTCGGCCGACTTCGATGTTATTACCGTCCCATCGCATTCCATTGCAGACATTGTAAGTTTGCTAACCGAACTCATCATCTTCACATCCTGACTCGACCATATATATATTCTTCTCACCATGTTACAGAATTCCCTGCAAGATTGTGTAAAACCATATGAGCGTTACGCAACCGATATCGTCGAATCGAAAAATGTGGTTGGTGGTGTATGACTTACTGCCACGGGTAATCGCCCATGAGCATCGTATCTCCTTCGTCGTCTGTGAAGACAATCTCCCACTTATCACGTGGGTGAAGTTCTCCCTTGATATCGAACATCTTTTCCAGTTCGTCGATGAGTTCGCCATACCCTTCCAACATCGTAAGGTCCACCGCACGTCCGACAGCCATCCCCTGCATTTGAACCTTCGATGTATTGACGAAGAACAAGAAGTCGATAAATTAGCCTACGCCCATAAAGTTCTAAACATGAGTAATCTGTATAATAGATCTCGTATAGTCTCACCTTGGTCCGACTTCGGCTGTTGGTCGAGCTGCTCTGCTTGTGCTGGATCTCTTTAGGAGGTACTTGTAAAAGTCCTAATTTTCTTTCTTTAGAAGCCTTTGGCTGGTCTGAGTTCTGCTCTGCATCAGTGATTTCATTTGGTGCGCTAATCGGTTGATCAGCAGCCATTTCAGGTGGAACTGGGCTCTTGGAATGACCGATGATATCGATCCCGAACAAGCGACAGCTTGGAGCCACCTCAGTTTTCCTCCCCTTTTCCCCAAGATCGTTAACTTGGTCGCTGCTCTTTGGATTAGATGGGTGTGGAGCTGGACATGTCGACTGTGCTGCTGGCGCTCCCGAGAAGACGGTTGACCAAACATAATTGCTGTTTCGGTCATCTGTCAAATTCTGTAATCGATGCTGCGAAACACTCCTGTTTGGGGAAGCTAACCAAGAGCCCTCCTTCGGAGTCCTTGATATAGAATTCCCAATGCTGCTAACATCCGTTTGCTTGTAATTCCACATTGCGTGATTTTCAAATCGTTTCATTTCAGCAGCAGTACCGCTAAGCTGTGTTCTATCGTCGTGTGATTGAGTTGATCCTGGATGGCGTAGAGTTGTTACGGTTGAATTATCAGAATCTGTATCAAAACGTCACGATTAGCCGATAACTCATTTCTAACTCCTCCCACAGCCAAAAGAAGCAATAGATAACTCTCAGCAATACCTGGAATGTCGAGTGGAGGCCGAAGCCTTTTATTCTTTACCGAAACCGATTGTGGAATGCTCGGGGACGTAGGCGCCACAAAAGGTTCAATCTCCCATGGCGAAACTCTATCAGGTCGAGGAATAGATGCAAGTTCATCCCATTGAATCTGGAAAGAAAGAGATCATACAATCAGAAATCGGGTTTGTTAAAGGAACGACGTGGGAGTAAGACTCGGGATTCCAGATGAAGACTTTACTCTTAGCGATCGCCATTTTGAATTGGGCCAGTGAGGAGATATGTCGTCAACTCCAACAATGGTACCCGAAAACCTGGTCGTATAGAATGAGTAAAACAAGAGTAAGTGATAACGCTCATGAAAAAAGAAGGCGAAAACGCATCGCAGCATGTTATTTTCAAACTACCTTCTCTCAGGAGACTCCTCTCCCTCGAATCTCATCTTGAATCTCATCCCAACTAAGAACTTCCTGTTCATTGCTTCGATGTACTTATTCAAGCTGACGATAAACTGGCTTGCCCTGGTATCAACCGACACGAAATAGAAACAAACAGACAGCATGAACATCTAGATCGAATAACACGGAAGTACATAGAACAAAAATAATTCATATCACCTTGGTTTATAATAGACAATAAAGCGAGTTAGAGTTAACACGGCGTGAGATGCAGTAGCAAGCACTCCTAAGTGCATGCTGTGACTTGAAATCACAGATGAAGGCATGCTGGTTTGTTGGCGAGCAAGATGCCTCACTCCGACTCGTAATTCCCCATTTTCCCCTCTAAGAAACCATTTCATAACGAGTTAACAGATAAATTATAACCTCCCCCTACCGACGAACATCCACAAAAGGAAACTCGAGATACCTCAAGAACACAAAAGAATCTCCAGCAACTAGTCTTTTCGAAGTAACAAACGTGCTCCATCCCGTCGTTAGCAAATGCCTTCGTGGTTGACCTGTCATCCATCATAGCGAAGATTTACTATTATAAACCGAAAAATGGACACAAATTGAATTGAAATTGGCTATATGCTCAAGCTATAACTGTTCATAAACATATGAAGAGACTCACCCCTAAAGATATGCTTGAATCGCCACTCGTTACCATGAAGATCTTTGGCTACAAGTTCTTGAGTTGGGGTCTGTTGGGTCATATCCTGAGGATCATTCACACGAGAAGATCAGAAAACATATTGATATTCCGTGGCGTGTTTACGAAAAGGAAAAGACAACTCGGTGAAGGAGAATTACCAATGGAGGCAGGCATTCCGTGGCGTGTTTACGAAGCACGGAGAATCCTCCATGGGTGCTAGTATCAGAAGCAGTCAAGACCTTGCAAAACGAATGGACTTTCGGTTTACGACACTCCGGTGGCGAAGGATCAGGATTAGTAGGTTCCTCTTGCTGAACAGCAATCCAATATTAGTACAAAGGGTCTAAAACTCACGTTTGTTTGTCCAAAATTAACAACCAGTTCTTACATTTGAATCAGGCATTAAAGTTATCTGTGCATAAACCTCATCTGTTTCCTGCTCAGCCTAAAATTTCAAGACAAGATCGAACAAAGTGGCTTATATTTAGAGGTCTAATCAAACAAAGAAA